CACTCATATATATATATATATATATATATATATATATATATATATATATATATATATATATATATATATATATATATATATATATATATATATATATATAAAACCTACCTTGGTTACATCTACGCGGATCGTAAGGCAAACTGACGATCTGTGTAGGTGAACCCTATGTAGGTTTGTCTGTCTCTTTGAGTTTATTTAGTTTGCTCTACTTTGTTTAGTTATTTTGTTTAGTTATTTTACTTTACTCGTGTCGGAGGTTTTTTCTTTGGACTCTGAACTTAGATTCTAGACGATTATTTTCGGCGGTTGGACATGTTCGTAGTTCTTTCTTTTTTACTTTTTTTTTTTTTGGGTATTGGTTTGTTCATTTACAAACTAAAACACCTAATGTTTTGCCGGACGAGTATAGCTGCTTATATTTATAAGATTATTAGTATTATATATATATATATATATATATATATATATATATATATATTCTCTAATGATACATATAAATAGTAATTACTGGGCAATATATATATATATATATATATATATATATATATATATATATATATATATATATATATAAAAATAAAAACAGACCAATTTAACGAAGTGCGAATCTGTGCAACAGAAATGAATGGAAACTTGTAGAACACTCGAGAATGTTCTGTTCTAATCTCATTGCTATATAAGCAGTGCAAGTGGAGCGTTTTGGTGAATTTTTTTTGCTTTTGTCCTGAAGTCTTCGCAACAGTTGATTTCAGGCTATGTTCGTTGAAAGTAAGTGTTGAATTTCGTTTTGTTTTTTTGTCTGTACGCGAAGTTTTATTCGAACGTTTTGTATATATTTTCGAACGATGTAGAGAGAACGGCCACAGTATGGCGCAATCCCAACTATACAATTCTACGCCCACTGCAGCAAGCCCTTCGGTGTGAGCAGACGATAGACCCACCCACACACATAGAGAAAAAGGACCCAATTATTACATTGGTCTTAAGGAAAAATTTGAAGTTTTTTTTTCAGGAAAAGAACTGTTATCGGTGCCCTCACTTTTGGAAGCACTTGGTACTAAAACGATTTCCTTGTTAACAACAGAATTCAAAACATGAAAATTAATCGGCGTCAACAGAAATAAGTTGGGGGGAGACTCTAAAAAGCCTAAATATTGGGACTAAAGTATTGGCCCGACGTAATAACTCAATGTGTGACATATTAGTCCGGGGAGAAGACGCTGCTAAATCGTTAGAGGACAATATCCTCATAACAAAATGTTTAAGGTTTCAGGTAGAGTATATCGAAGCAAGAAAAGTTAAGGTGACCCTATATGGAGTACCCACGTATATTTCAGGGTGTATAAGAGTGTATAAATTGTCCAAATGCTTGTTGATTCCAGACACTTTAAGTGAATCTGTTTTAAAGAATTTTATTCATATTACTTTAAGTTTTGACCTCGCAGTTTAAATTTTGTATAACATTTTGGGATGCTGCAACTATCCAAGAAAACAGATTTGATTTCATATGACAGAAAACAAAAATCCGTCAAAATTGATTAGCCGAAATTGCTTGAATCAGAAAACATTTGTATAATTCCTGCATTCTTTAATCCCGAAAAGTATACTCTTGTTCACATACGTGAAAATATAATGAAAAATTAATGACTAAAAAAAAGTATATCAGTTTTTCTTTAACCGCACACACACAAATACATACACAAATGTCTGTATGAGTTTCGGTAAATATGGTGGACAAAGAATATCTCGTATTATTTTTCTAGTGTCCTTAAAACATACGGTTTCATGTGGAGATATTCGCCATAGTATTTTTTTCCTGTGCGCCTTCAGCTAATATTATAAAAATTACCCAGTGGCGGGTGGTATTATTTTAACGTTGACGAAAATTATTTTTCATATAGATAAAAATATATTAACAATGATCGTTAACAAGAAGATTAACCCTTGTTCTTCAAAATGTCTAATATATTAGCCGAAAGGGCTCAGGAAAACGATCATTAATAGTAATTTCTCAAATCGAAAATCTCTGAGGACACAAACAGAAATTTAAAAAATGTTTCATATTTGTCATACATGCTTTAGGAAGCATAAAAGAAGGATTTATGTCATATATATATATATATATATATATATATATATATATATATATATATATATATATATATAAGCAGTTTTAAATATGTTCGTAGATGGGAAACTGTTTGGGAATATCAAATGCCGTAAGCTTAAATGACGTTGCTGTAACTCGATAGCCTGAAAGAGCTGGCCATCTAGGAGAAGAAAAAAAAAACACTTTCAAACACTTTCAAACCTTCACTGACTTGCGGCTGTACACTATCGTGGGAACAGCTTTTAGAATACAGCCTCATGGAAAAGCAATTAAATTACCTGCCAACTACCTAAGGTGATTAATTTTCGATTTCATCAAATTGCAACTGATGTTTATTTTTTTTTTGGTCATTTCGAAAATTACTTGGAATGATTCTTTTAAAAATTATACTTCAACAAATTTTAAACCTTGGGAATAAACGCCCCATTATTTGACTTCTAGAAAATTATATTATGATTATTGTTTGTTCTGTAGTTAGTTTGGAAATTAGTCTCTGAGTTACACACTGCCATTTTCTCAGATAAATAATAATCTAGTTGGTACTAGAGCAGTGTTTTAGTACGTGGGAAACAGGAATAAAGATGGCGCTGAGATCGGGATGAAGTAGATTCAGTAAGGGGCTTTCTGATTGGTTTCTTTTTAGCTATTCACAGGGTCCGTTGTAACAATGCCAAGTAGTCTGCTCAATAGGGGATTACTCCGAAGGACTCGTAATAATTTCAATGATTCATCAAATTTTCCATTAACCTGGATAACGATATGGTTCGGCATCCAGCATTTGTTACTAAAAGCCGAAACAATAAATTAACATTTTTAAATTATTTATTTGACTATCCACACGGGGATAACACCCTGACGTTATAAATCGCGCAAACATTTCTTAATGAGAGGAAAGCAGAAATTGAACATAATGATCTTCTCTTTCTGAGGTTCCAAAGACCAGATCTTTCTTAAAAAAAAGTAAAAATTCTTTATTTGTGATTAGGAAAGATGGACGTGAATTGGGTTTGATCCTCTAGCAAAGAATATTTATTCAACACTTTGTTCAAAAGATCTTGTTTGTGGAAATGTCAAAAAGTAGACGGTGGCTTTTACCTGAAGATGTATTCGCGCTACTCGGGCATCAATCAAGAAAGAATAAAGGAATAGCCATCAGCAATCGAATCTAACCGCCACAGTGATCAGACACTCAGTCAACCATTCATTTATAATTTATCTTTCTTTCTTTACTTTTCTCTATTTTCCTATTCTTTATTTCCATTCTCTTTCTGCAATTTCGCTATTCATTTTGTTCGTCATATGTGTTTTTATTAATCATTTGGTCTTTAGGCTTTGAATGTAATTTTTCTTTTTTCATTCTCCTTTACCATTCTATTTTTATTCTTGCAACGATTTTTGTTCTTTTCACTTCTAATTTATTCTTTTTTTTCGGGTTTCGCTTTTTATCTTGCATCTGATTTCTTTGATGCCTACTTGTTTTCCAGTTCTTCATTAAGTAGATTTTTTTCTGTTCTTTAAACCTATTCGTCAATTTCTTTTTGGCTACTTATTTGATTCTGCATTTCTTTCTTAGTATCTGAATTATTTTCTGATTTTAGGAAATGAAGAAAATAATTCTGCTATTTCTTTATTAGGATTTCGTTTTTTTACTTCAGTTTTATTCTTATGTTTTGTTATATTCTCGATAATTGCCTCATATTGTTCATTGTTTTTCTTTGCCCTGTTCAGCTTTCTTTCTTTCATTTATTCCTTCTTTCATTCATCTAAATGTCATATTTCCTTTCATTCTTTGTAAATTCTGTCATTTTGTTTCATGTCACATTTTGTTTCTAAAGCTTCCTTTAATTATTCTTTCTTTTGTCCTACATTCCTTTAATCATTTTTCTTTTTTATCTCAATTTATTGTTTTGTCACTATTCTTTCTGTTACCATTCTCATCATTTTCTCTTTTTTCTCATTTCTTTTCTCATTCTCATCATTTTCTCCCTTTTCTCATTCTCATCATTTTCTCTTTTTTCTTATCATTATTTTCTCTCTTTTCTCATTCACATCATTTTCTTTCTTTTCTCATTTTTCATTATTCTCATCATTTTTTCTTTCGTTATTCTCATGATTTTCTGTATTTTCCATTCTCATCATTTTCTCACTTTTCTCATTCTCATCATTTTCTCCCTTTTCCCATTCTCATGATTTTCTCTCTTTTCTCATTCTCATCATTTTCTCTCTTTTCTCATTTTTTTCTCATTCTCGTCATTTTCTCCCTTTTCTCATTCTCATCATTTTCTCCCTTTTCTCATTCTCATCATTTTCTCACTTTTCTCATTCTAGTCATTTTCTCTCTTTTCTCATTCTCATCATTTTCTCTCTTTTCTAATTTCTTTTCTCATTCTCATCATTTTCTCCCTTTTCCCATTCTCATGATTTTCTCTCATTTCTCATTCTCATCATTTTCTCTCTTTTCTCATTTTTTTCTCATTCTCGTCATTTTCTCTCTTTTCTCATTCTCATCATTTTCTCTCTTTTCTCATTTTTTTCTCATTCTCATCATTTTCTCCCTTTTCTCATTCTCATCATTTTCTCCCTTTTCTCATTCTCATCATTTTCTCCCTTTTCTCATTCTAGTCATTTTCTCTCTTTTCTCATTCTCATCATTTTCTCTCTTTTCTAATTTCTTTTCTCATTCTCATCATTTTCTCCCTTTTCCCATTCTCATGATTTTCTCTCATTTCTCAATCTCATCATTTTCTCTCTTTTCTCATTTTTTTCTCATTCTCATCATTTTCTCCCTTTTCTCATTCTAGTCATTTTCTCTCTTTTCTCATTCTCATCATTTTCTCTCTTTTCTAATTTCTTTTCTCATTCTCATCATTTTCTCCCTTTTCCCATTCTCATGATTTTCTCTCATTTCTCAATCTCATCATTTTCTCTCTTTTCTCATTATTTTCTCATTCTCGTCATTTTCTCTTTTTTCTCATTCTCGTCATTTTCTCTCTTTTCTCATCTCTTTTCTCATTCCCATCATTTTCTCTCTTTTCTCATTTTATTCTCTTTCTCGTCATTTTCTCTCTTTTCTCATTCTCATCATTTTCTCTCTTTTCTCATTTTATTCTCATTCTCGTCATTTTCTCCCTTTTCTCATTCTCATCATTTTCTCTCTTTTCTAATTTCTTTTCTCATTCTCATCATTTTCTCCCTTTTCCCATTCTCATCATTTTCTCTCTTTTCTCATTCTCATCATTTTCTCTCTTTTCTAATTTCTTTTCTCATTCTCATCATTTTCTCCCTTTTCTCATTCTCGTCATTTTTATCTCTTTTCTCATTCTTGTTATTTTCTCTCGTTTGTCATTCTCGTCATTTTCTCTATTTTCTCATTTTTCTCATTCTCATCATTTTCTCTTTTTTCTCATTTTTCTCTCATTCTCGTCATTTTCTCTTTTTTCATTCTCATCATTTTCTCTCTTTTCTCATTCTCGTCATTTCCGTTCTTTTCTCATTTTTTTCTTTTCTCATTCTTATTTTCTTTCATTATTCTCATAATTTTCTCTCTTTTCTCATTCTCATGATTTTCTCTCTTTTCTCATTCTCAACATTTTCTCTCTTTTCTCATTTTCAACATTTTAATTATTCTCATCATTTACTTACTTTCATGATTGTCATTATTGTCTTTTATTCTCATCATTGTTTTTCTCATTTTCTCATTTTCTCATTTTACTCATTCTCATCATTATCTTTCGTTTCTTACTTTCATCATTGTCTTTATTTTCATCATTCTCATCATTCTCTTTCTTTTATAACTCTCATCAGTGTCTTTTTTCATTCTTATCATTTTCTTTCTTTTCTCATTCTCCTCATTTTCTTTCTATTCCCACTCTCATCATTTTCTTTGCCACATCATTCTCAACATTTTCTTCCTTTTATCATAATGTTAGTTTGCTTTTGTCTGTTATCTTTTTCCCCAGAGTTATTCTTCTTTTATTATAATTTTACATTTTTTATCTAATTTTATTTTTTGTCTCCTTTTCTTCTGTTTTTCTTATTACTATATTTTTCTCTTTCATCACATTTATCTTATTCATTTAAATTTATTGTTGATTTTTCATTCTTTTTTTCATTTGTACTTTTTGCCATTCTTTCTTTCATCATAGTTTTACTTTCTGTCGCTTTTTACAAAGTTCTTGTTTCTTTCATTTTTTCTTCTTTCTTTCGGTCAGCGTCATTGTTGTTTTCTTTCTCTTATCTCAAAAGTAAGTTGCTTTCGGCATTAATGTTTCTTTCTTTTATCTTAAACAATTAATATCACTCTTTTCTTTTTATATGATATCATTAGTAATTGTCTGAAATAAACACGTGTTGCTATAATTTTACTTGAAACTTTAAATTTCTCATCGCAATAGAAATAATATCCAAAAAATGTGATTGTGGCTAGAAATCAGTTGGTCTTTTAAGTTTCTTAAAAGTGAATACAATAGCATCAGCCAAGAAATGAATGAACATTTATTCTGGCAAAATTTATTAGAGGTTTTAAAATTAAATCAGGACTCAAAAATGTATATTTTAATATGTAAATATTTATTTTTGGATTTAGGAAAAATATTAAAATTATAAATGTCAAGAGGCAAATGGTAATCGAAGGATAGTTTCGTATGTCTGATTCTTTGTTTTTTATATGTTCTTCCTTTGTTTATTATATATCTTTCCTTTATATATATGTTTTGTTCCTTTGTTTATATTTTTTATATGTTTTTTTATGCTTTTGCTTTGTTTTTTTTTTTCTATGTGCAGCTAATGTCATTGTCATCAGTGATTTAGTCACCACAGAAGCTGTTAAATATCTCGTTGGAATTATTTGTTACAGAGAGCGACTATCTTTCCTCATGATGCTCATATCAATGGCGTAATTCATCTTTGCAGCAGATTGTCAACCTGCTCATAATGACCACATAATTGGTACATTTGTCAAAACACAAACCGTTCTAAGTTACAAGAGGTTGATGAGAAATTTCAGAGAATAGTCTTTCGATACACCTGTACTCTTGTAAAGATTCAGCCAATGAGAGGTTCTTATTTTTTCGAAATTAGAAACTGTGTAATATGTAACGACCTACATTGTGTCTATATAAATTACATTCACTTACTCGCAAATATATATGGTATAGGTATGTATATATCTACCCCAATTATACGTTAAATAGTAGGACTTGTATCTGAAAAATGTTTTAATCAAAAACATATTTGTACAATATACACTAGCAAAACATAATTGTTCCTACAATCCTAAATATGCTTCAGCGTTAAAAAGGTTTGTGGCCTTGTTAGGGGTTAGAAATAAAGACACAAAGAGAAGAAATTATTTAAACAAATATATTAACAGAAACAGTAATGCAAACATATACAAACGAGAGTGTTACAGCAATAATGTTCTGTCCGACTGTCAGAGCTGACTGCTGGAAACTTCCCTCTCTAAAAGGTAGTTCCTGCTCCTAGTTATAGCTGGGAGCGCCCATGCGTGTGTGGATAAATTACCATAACAAAAAGATGACAACGTGGTGATAAAACGTAAAAAATCAATCACTTAATCAATTCTGTTCATGTGATTTCTTCCCATTTAACAGATCCACCATTTTCAAGCTGTTGAAAAACTTGTCAAACCTGATATCAGAGCAGTAATCATCTACTTTTAGTTCTGCAATAATCCATTCCGCATCTCTATGGATGGATATTCAGTTTGGCGTCTTCTTGCTTCATAACAGGGATACAAATTGACAATAGTCCGGAGATATTCTCAGCCTCCACATTATTGGTGTGCTTACTGTATTATGTTATTTAAGACAATGATTTTCTCATCGTTCCAATCGAATTAAATTGCAATTAGAAACTATTTTTATTTTGTTTTATATTTTGTAATCATTTGACACAAAGCAAAGCGAATAAAGCCACTAACACAGAAAGGGCCACTGAGTGTGAAGGAATAAGAAAAAGAAAAAAAATATCATTACAGAGATAGAACAATAAAAGAACTGGGATTAAGAATACAGTAGATAACGATTGCATTTAAATTGTTGATGATTATTGTTGGATACAAAGCAAAAGCCGAATGAAATTTCCATTACCAAGAGAAGTAACTATTAGCATTGAACAGAAGTATATCTAACCGATTCACCTGTGAATTGATAAGACCTTCTGTTATGGTCCGCTTCCTTTTACCACGGTAATAGTCCAAGGTAGAACCAATAAAGAAGAACTCGAAAATGGATATGGAATAACACAGATATATTACAAACAGGAATATATACAGTGAAGTAGAAAGTGTTAGTACGAACAATCAGGTTTAGTAGTAATTGCCTGAACGCGACTCTGTTTCGGACTGCCTCTGACTCGACTGAATGACTCGCTCTGACTGACTGACAGACTCCTGACGGACTTCACTTCAGATTGAACTCTCGCTTCCTCTTGAGGCGCAGTATTTATTACGTATGGAATAGTCCATTATGTTATTATGGGTAAGGTCCCATAACACCTTCTTAACTTGATGAGGCCTTGCTACCAATCTATTACTGCATTTAAATTCATAAAGTCTGAATACCATAGAGGAAAGTTCATTTGAATGTATTTATAGAATAGGAACCAGAAATTTACATTATGGCGGTGGGAAAGTGACTGAAACCGAGATGCCATGTCAAGACCTATAAAATTTCGGATTCTTCTTTGGATTTTATCAGGTATCTATAAATATATAGCAGGGGCACCAGACGATATGTTGTTCTTATAGACGTTGACCTGTGGTGAGTCTTATATGTACTGGTCTTACCCTAAGTGATACCAAAGTAGATTTTTCCTTCAGTGCCAAAACAACATCAGAATAGCCCGGTTCAACAGGTGTTTGGCTTGGGTAGTGTTGTCATAGAAACGAGTATATCACAATATACCAAAGGCAAAAATGTGATCGATTCAGATATGATTATGATGTGTTTAAGTGGGACAAACAGATAATGAGAAGATATATAAACGCCTAACCACGAGAGGGATAAAGAAAAACAGTCTCTCACATCCCAGCGAGAAAAAAAAGGTCCATGTTCGGAGAAATCTCCCCAAAACCGACATGCATTCGTCGATATTAATTGTCAACTGGCAGTGGTTTATAACGTGATTGCAATGACAATAGTCTAAAACATATGTACTTATTGAAGCTGAGTCTTCTGCAGTAAGGTTCCGTCTATTAGACGATATTGAACCTTTGTTTTGAGACAGCATGCAAGATGTCAGAATCTTCACGATAAAATGTATCAGTATTTCAATACGTCCAAGACAAAACGAGTAACATTCCACCACCATCGAGCAGCAGACACTGACCTTTCACATATCATGATTGATTGATATTTTCTCAACTAAGCCCAGTGTCTTGAACGTCTATTGATATTAAAGTTTTATCCAAACCTTGTGGATCTATTGCTGAAAATGCTGATGGTCCATTGTATTGCTCTAGTAAATATTTGACACCCCCTCCTGTTATAATCAATCTTTACATATCAGACCTGAAATGATTATTGCTGGGATATCTGGGTTGGAGTCACCTATGTTATACATTTCCATGACGGTCGTCCTTGAGTATTGAATCTAGAAGTTGGCAGTGAATATTTCGGAGACAGTAGGAAAGCGTACTTTAGGTTCGCAGTGGATATCACAGCAGAGTGTAGTTCATCCTTCTCCTGGTCGCCTTTGGTCCTTCCAGTAGGAGGAAACAAAATGGCCGCCTTTATACACGATGAATACAGTGTTGGGCGGCTTCTGATTGGTCAACCTTCTATTGGTCGACTATAAAGGGAAATAAGTCATTCTGACTCGCTCACTAGTTACAGGTAGTATATACCCAAAAAACCGTAACAACCTACTCCTCACTGGCATATCTTGATAGATTTTAAACGTGTCTAAGCAAGCTTATGTGTGAAGATTTATTTATCTAAACCCCTTTCAACAGGCGAAATATCGCGAGCCTCTAATTGCTCTAATTCCATGTGTCATGGCAAGTTACATTCGTTTGTCCAAGCTCCATGCACCTTTAAAACTGGGACCCGCCATGCTATGTACAAAATGCTAAATCATCCCCATTTTCTTCGTATACCAATTCGGACGGCTTATTTCCTAGAACTGCTGCTTTATGGAACAGACTCCTGGCAGGATGTTTTCACAATCAAGAGAATCTTGATCTATTCAAGTATGGATTTAAACGCTATCTTTCCTGCTAAACCTCATAAACTTAACTTCTTTGTCATTTCTTACGCCTAAACATCACACATTGATCCCAAGTGGAACTCATACATCCGATTAATTGCTAAATATGGTGGAAAAATTAATTGTATCGCTCCAGTAAGTACTTACCCTCCACTGCTATAATCTACATTTAAAAGCGCCATATCAGACCGAAAATGAACTATTGCTGCCTGTATCGATAGACTTCAAGAGAGTATACGCGGCTTCGTCAGTGATTATTTCTCTACAATCCCTTTTCAATAGACGAAATGCATAAGCATCTCACTGCTCTATTAATACTTCTATGAACATTACGTCTTGTTCTTTCTTACTCCTGTACAACATCACACAATAACCCCCGACTGTGAGTGGCTTGTATTGGATGAGCATTAGAATTTTAAAAAATAAACAGACGAATTTTGGTCATTTTGTTTGTGGCCTCTAGATATGTGTTTTCACTGAGAGTAAAACAATTCAGTAATTATCTAAAACGCTTCCTTGACATAAAATTCTATACTGTATTCTTTCTTATTCTCATCTGGAGACAAATATTCTCTTACCGTAGAACTTTGGCTAGAAAACATTTGATGTTTCTTTTTCATCGTGGATGAAATAAACTCAGCAAAACGTTCCAGAATTGCCTTATGTTCGATTGATGATGATTATAGGCCAACAGTTGTCTGGTTCTGTGGAACGTATTGCTTTTGCCTGTTGGACAGATTTATTTATCTCCATAAACTATGTTTCCTTGCT